GGGTAAGATAGGCTGTTGTCAAAACTGTCTATGCTTTTGAGAGGAAAGGTTTGGGGCAATATTTCTTCGCATACTGCACTCAATTTAGCTATGGAGAAAAACCACACATTCACTGGGTGTTTCCCCTCGTGAAAACCAAAAGCTTTTCCTATCAAAAGCATGAAAGTTGCTCTGTATCCAGGTGCCTGGGTGGCTCAGTCCTTAAGCGTCTGCCTTAGGCTCAGGTCATTATCCCAGGATCCTGGGCCCGAGTCCCACATCGGTCTTCCTGCTATGTGAGGAGTTCTGCTTCTCCCTCTCCCCCCTCTTTTCATGCTCTCTCTCTCAAATAAATAAACCAAATCTTAAAAAAAAAAAAAAAAAAAAAAAAAAAAGTTGCTCTGTATCTCCAGCTACTGCTTTAGTCAGGAAGAAACCTCTCAACGGCAAAATGTGGAGAAAAGCCAAGCAGATGCGGGTAACTCCAGGTACCTGGTAATTTCTTGTGACCTGTCTCCTGTCCAGTAGTGGCTGTTGATACATGCAGGTCCCACCAGAGTGATACAATGTGCATCTTCAGCTCCATCATCAAACAAAACTCCAAAAAGAGCCTGAAAAAGTAAACGTCCCTGATGGCAGCTGATAATGTCTGAAGAATGGCCCCTAGAGACATCAGTTCCTAATACCCATCCCTATGAATGCAGCTTTATTTGGAAAAGGGCTCTTTCCCAATGTGATTGAGTTAATGATTTTCAGATGGGGATATTATCGTGGATTATCCCGGATGGACCTTAAGGGCAATGGCAGGGGACCTTACGAGAAAGAGGTGGAGGGAGATTTGACTCACCGGCGTGGAGAAAGCCACATGACCACAGAGAAAGAGACGGGAGTGATGTAGCCACAGGCTCAGAAAGGCCAGCAACCACCAGAAGCTGAAGGATGCAAGGAACCCATTCTCCCCTCGAGCTTCGGGAGGGTGCGTGGTCCTGCCGACACCTCGATTTTGACCCAGTGAGACTGGCTTTGGACTTCTGGCCTTCAGAAGGGTGAGAGAATAAATAAATCTCTGTTTTGGAGCCACGACGTCTGTGACGATTTGTTCCACAGCAAAGAAATAGAAAAAGTGACTGTCTCAGGCAGGGTTCTTGGGTCCCCAGGGAGGCGAATTCCCTCTGGCTACTAACATCGGTAGGAAAGCAACTCGGGTTCCACGCTGTGTAGAGCACTAAGAATCCATGGTGCTTAGAAGGGCAAGGCTAGCCTCTGGGCAGAAGCTTCCACTGACAAGTTGTCAGCAGGTGATACAGGAAGGATAAAGCTCCCACAAACCAGACATGTTTTGCATATCAAGCACTACGTGAAGACCTTTAAGTACCCCTCAGTCCCTCTGAAAGCCTGGGATGGCCTGGCTAAGCCCCTCATCTAAGGTGACATAGTGACTGGCTGAAGAACCCCAGGATTCCTACCACATCCAACCTTTTTCCATTGCCTCAACCTGGCTCCTTTTTAGAAGTGCAAATAAGACCTGTTTAACACTGAACTCTGAGTCAAGGGGAACAGAGAGCCAAGATTTAATGGAATTTCTAAAGCTCAGTTCTCCATATTAAGATGTCCTCAAACCGTGGAAGAAAACCTCATGCTTCAGGACCTCTGAGCATCGCCTGAGCCATGTGTTTGGGACCTTACCACGAGAGGGACGCCTTTCTGCCGACTCAGGGACTCAGGGCTTCCATACATGCACTCGAAGATGGTCGGGGAGGTGCCTCTAGATCCAGCCTGACCTGTAATCCAGCTCTTTCCTTGTGCCTGCCTCTGGTTTTTCTATCTCTGCCTCTTGTTAGCAAACAGAACATGCACCATTTCAGAAAAGCAAGCCTCACCATGAAGGGCTGATATTGAGTGTGTATATTCTGCTGTATCAGCCCCAGACCTATTTCTTCTAGTTAGAACTTGACAGCGAGTTCCCTCCCAGAGCCCGTCAGCAGCCCGGGGTTTATGAATCACCCCACCAATGGCTTATGCCGCTGCACCACAGCAAACCAAACTAAACAAATTCTTTCCATGTTAGCCGGAGGGTTAAAAAAAGAAGTGTGCTCTACAGGAGATATAAATTTGAGGCGAGCCCTAGAAGAGAATAAAAAGGAAATAAGACCTCAGTCAACCACGTGCAGAGGGCTCCGACTGACTTCTTTGCTTTGTGACTGCTGATGTGGCAGCTTCCAAGGAGGGGTTTTCCACAGAAAGCTGGGGGTCCAGGCCAGACTGTGGGGGCAGAGGTGCAGAGCTTGCCCGAATGTGGTCAAGGACAGAAACTGACTGCCAGCAAGGCCGTTGCTCTGAGTTCTAGTTTCATAATGCCCCCTCGAAGGGGGTGGAGCTGGGGGAGGAGCCTCCCCCATTTTCTTCTGCCTTTTACCCCTTCCTTTTCTTATTCAGTTACCAGGTCCTGAGGCTTCCAGCAGGCTCCACGAAGCTGCAAAGCCAGGCAATGGGCACGAGTGGCCTGAACCAGCGAACATCTGACAGTCTTCAGACTGAAGTTGAGGGATGAGGGAGCAGCCTGGCCTTCCCCTGGTGGGAGGTGGAGGGACACGCTTAGTGGCTTTGAGTCTGTACTCTGTTTTAGCAGATTCCTCTCTGTGTTCGAGCTCGTGTGCCCTCACCAAAACAGAAGCCCTGTGCAGCAGAACCTATCCTCATTAGAAGGCCATGTGTTAATTGTCAGTCTCATGCCCCTGGGGGTGGGGGGTGGCTCCTGGGTGGTGTGATCGGGGTCCTGTCTCTGAGAAGCCTTCTGGTGTCAATGTCCTCTCCTGCCTGCCAGGACCTCTGAGCGCAGGCCTGCCTGGCCCAGGCTGCTCTCCTCCTCCTCTTCCTCCCTCAGAGAAGGAGCCGAGGTGGCTCTCTCTTCGCTCCCCATCTCCCAGGCCCTCTCTCAATGCTTGTATGACAGACACGGCACAGAACAGTTAGCCTCCCATTCATTCCCAAGTTCATCTGACAGCCATGGGCAGTGCGTATTAAACGCAGCGAGTTTAGCAAAGCCTTTTTCTTGTCAAAGTGACAATATTTGCAGTGATTAAAAAAAAAAAAAGCAGCAATTAGAAGCTTAGGAAAGTTCCATCTTGTAGGAGAATTATGACGGACGGGGCTGAATCGTGCTCCATCCAAAAGGCCTGTCTACCTGGGAACCTCAGAATGTGACCTTATTTGGGGGAGCGGGGGGGTCTTTGTGGATAAAATTCCTTAAGGAAGGTTGTCCTGGATTTAGGATGGGCCCAAAACCCAATGCCTTGTGTCCTTATAAGAAGGCCCTGTGAGGACACCGGGCATGCAGAGATTGCAGTGATGGGTCTATAAGCCATGGGGCACCAAGGATTGCTGGCATCCCCCAGAAGCTGGGAACCGCCTGGAGTAGATGCTTCCTCGGAGAATCTGGAAGGAACCACGCCTGCCCTCACCTTGATTTTGGATTTCTGGCCTCCAGAACTGTGAGAGAATAATTTCTGTTGTTTTAAGACACCCAATTTGTGGTGATTTGTCATGGCAGCCCTGGGAAACTCATACCCAGGGTCATCAGATGTGTAGGCTAGGTCCCACAGCATGGTGGATTTCTTTTTTTTTTTTTTTTTTTTTTTTTTTTTTTTTTTTTACCCATTATCTCAACAAAGCCCACAACCAGAGAAAGGGACGACCTGCAATGAAATCATCCCTGAGTGTTGGTAAAGCAATGCTGAAGGCAACATCACCCCCACCCCCTTCCAACTGGATGGCCTAAGGAATTTTCCAGTCTTTAAGAAACAGCATTTTCGTGATGGATATTATAGGGCAGTGGGAATCCTTTTTCCTTAATTCTAGTCATTTGGAGGCTGAAAAGTCTTCTGCAGCAGAAAATTTAAGTGATAGCTTGGATGTTTGATTTTGCTAAGGCTAGGATGTCCTAGTCCCACCACCTGCTGAGTTGGGGGTGACAGAAAATCCTACAGGAAAGAGTCATGGACCCCAGTCTTCAGGCTGCTGCAAGGGAAAGAACGGTGTAGGACAAGGTGACTTCACCTACAACTAACCGAAACCACCCCCACCCCTGCCCCCACCCTCTTCTCCCCCCGACTCCCAGCTCCGGGCACCCCAAACTCCAGCCCTTTTAACTATCTCTTTGAAAATCCAGACCCAAGCCATCAGATCTGTGTGTGTAATCTTTCCTATTTTATAGACAAGAGGGTGGGAATTCAGTGGGGTTGAAACCCCTGATGAGCTTCTCTGGAATGCTGGCCTTCCGGAAGCTTCTCTGCTCAGTGCCTGTTAATCCTCTATTGAGAGCTGATAATGAGGCTGGGTTTTTGTTTTTTTTGTGTTTTTTTTTGTTTGTTTGTTTGTTTTCTTTAGATGGATAAAAGGAGCATTTCTGCCTTTTTTTTTTTTTTTTGGCATGTAGTGTCTACACAAGTTATTTTCTTGCCCTTTAAAAAGTGTCATAGTTTGCCAGATTGGTTTTCACGTTTCACAAGATGATTAACAATTGAACTTTCTTTGTTAAAAATAAAGGGGGACAGCTTCTCCCCTCAGACAACTGAATGTGTCCTGAAGATAAATCTGACTCAGAGTTCCACACTCTTTCTTTTCTCTCCCGTGTTTGTTTTCCTTCTCAGCCTGCATCTGTGAAGCCAACTTTGCACCTGTTGCCGAAGCAGATTACGTATTCCTATCCCAGCTAAAGCAAAAAACAGCACTTGCGTCTGGTTTTACTGTGGCCACCTCTGATGGATGGATGGGCTGAGAATGCTCAACAGAAGCTTTTTTTTTTCTTCCGAAATTCCTTTGAGGCAAGTAGAGGTAAATATTTTCACCCTCAGCCACTAGAGGAAATGTAGTAGAACAGGATTTGTGAGGAAGGGGGGTGGGGTGGGGGACGAGAGCCTCCAGAATCCTGTCTATGCCTCAATAAAAGGTCACAAAGCCCTCTGTGTTCTCTCACTCCTGAGGGTCCAGACCAGACCTTCTTATCTCAGTTATCTGGCCCCGCCCGGTGCACTGGCCCCAAGTGACTTGTGAGCATTTGAAATGTGACTGTTGTGAATCCAAGTGTTCTTGAAATAGGGAGTCGATACCAGGTTTCAGAGACAGTACAAAGCATATGGCATTAATAATATTTTTGAGAGGTGTCTGGGTGGCTCAGTTGGTTAAGCGTCTGCCTTCAGCTTAGGTCATGATCCCAGGGTTCTCAGATGGAGCCCCGCATCGGGGTCTCTACTCCTCGGGGAGTCTTCTTCTCCCTCTCTCTCTGCCTGCTCCTCCCCCTGCTTGTGCTCACTCTCTCTCTCTCTCTGTGTCAAATAAATAAATAAAATCTTTTAAAAAATACAATTTTTGAGTGGATTGCCACCTGACACACAAAGCATTTGACTTTGCCTTTTTTTTTTAAAGATTTTATTTATTTATTTGACAGAGAGAGAGATCACAAGTAGGCAGAGAGGCAGGCAGAGAGAGAGGAGGAAGCAGGCTCCCTGCTGAGCAGAGAGCCCAATGTGGGGCTCGACGAGGGGCTCAATCCCAGGACCCTGAGATCACAACCTGAGCCGAAGGCAAAGGCTTAACCCACCGACCCACCCAGGCACAGCTTGACTTTGCTTTTTATTGATTATCTGACTTGCAGACTCCTGGAAAGCAGGCTTCCCGAAGTACAGCAAAGGTGCAGATCTCCTGACACCCCACACGAAGCAGAAGGGGCAGGCACCAAGCACAGTTGGGAAAAGCCCTGGCAGAGTTCCACCGGGAATTTGAAAAAGGGTGAGCAAATACAAGGTTCCCGAGTAAAGTCTTGCAATGAAGAAACATGTCTAATTTTGTCACTATGGCATTTCAGAAATGTGTGCCCACAGGATTCCTAGCTCTTCCTTTTTGAACGTTGGCCTCACAGCAGTGATCATGTCAAGCAAGTATTATTCAGCAGCCCCAGCTGTGTTAGTGTGTAAGGACTTGAACAGATGCACAGGACAAAGGAACACCCCGTGGAAATGTGGGGCAAAGCCTGGGACCCTCAGTCCAAAGGTAAGAACTCCATTTAATCAATGGGTTGTAGTAAGAGCATGTTGGGGCCTCATGTCTGGGGACCCCACTGGCCTTTGCATCTTGTGAACATGGCTGCAGTGACAGTCCCATCCCCTTGTCTGTGCATCCCAGTAGGAGCTCCTGCACCTCTCTTTAAGCACCTTAAAATCAATGAAAGGAGCACTGTAGCAATAAAGAATGAAGAGGAGTTTCACATTCAAAATCATTTTGTTGGCTTGACATCTATTTCAACCACAACCGGGAGGTCGGGTAAGTAGAGACGACCATTTCCCAGTCACAGAATGAGGCTTTAGCCTGAACCTCTGTAGGCTTGCATGTCATGGGGGATGTTTGACTCTTAAAAGCAGAGCATTGATGGGGGTGAAGGGGATGACAGGGTGACTGCTAAGGAGAACAGGTGGAAATTGAAGCCCAGGTTAGGTTATAAGCCTTGGGAAGGGTCCTCTACAGACACGTCAAATACCCCAGGAGGACCTGGTGGCCTCATATCCTTTTTTTTTTTTTCCCCTAGTGCTGGGCTAAGAGGGAGGTGTGCACTGTTGGGTGGAGAAATGGAAAAGCAATGTGTTGGAATTCTTTCTTCATATCCTGATGTTAACTTATATTTCAAAAAAAAAAAAAACAAACAAACAAAAAAATCCAGTTTTATATTTAATAAGTGTAATTGTTAAAATAGGAAGAACAAAAATCATACTTGAGAGGATTTACACTTTTGCCTTTCTAATACATATACAGATATTTTTAAAAGTTTTTCTAGTTGACTTACTTCCTGAAGATCTGAACAGAATTGAAAGATGAAAGACCACAGTGCTGTCTGATCACCATTCACACCTCTCTCTGACAAGCATGGAGACATTTGGGCTCATGGTTCCTTCCCATCTGATTTATTATGCTCTTTGACTCTGGGACAAAACCCCACAAACTCATCTCTTAATTACATAGGCTGTGTTTGGATTGTGAACAAAACAACAAGTGTATTTTCTCCCCATATGGGTTGAAATGTCCCATGTGATGTTCAGCTTTACCATAATACTGCAGGCTGGCTGGTTTACTTCCTGGCACTGCCATCAGCCAGAATGTGCTGGTGCATCACATTGTCTAACCCCCGGGCACCCTATGGCCTTCCAGCTCACAGCCTTCCCTTCCTCAACAAGTGTCTCCACATGGCAGTCCCGTGGGTGACCCAGCCATCTCACGGGGCCTGAGCCCCATGGCTCTAGCTTCCTTCCCCTTTGTGTCATTTCAGGACTCATATTCACAGCTAAACCAGGGATCTCGTGATGGGCTGAACTGCACCTGCTGCAGTGTCTTGCTCACTTCCCATATATGATGCCAACCATTGGGTAGCCACATCTTATCAGCTTTTATGAGGAACAGTTGTACAGTCAACAGCAAGATGGTGGAATCCTGGTTGTCCCTGTGATGGGTAAACCTCCTAAGAGCTTGCAGGGAAGATGGATTTGAAATCCTTAAATTAATTCATGCTCTTTTCTTGAAATACACTGAGTTGTGGTAACTTCCTGGAGAGCAGAGTCTCTGCCTGATGCTGGTTTTCCTTCCCATTGAGCCCCTTGCATGGATTTGAGTATCTTCAGTGTTGAGTTCATTGCTGGGACTTGGCTCAAAATCCAAGACCAGGAGCTCAGAAGAAAGGTCTTTGGATGCTTCTTGTTGAATTCTGTTTCTCTTCCCTGGTACACAGACATGAGGGTGGGGAGGTGAAGCAAGAAAAACTAAGCAGACTGTTCACTGGTGTCACTTTTGTACTATTTTTCATCTGCTTGGGGACAAAGGTATCTGTTCCAAAGGGACAGAATGGGAAATTTAATTAATGTATTTAAAATTCAAACCCCAAATACAAGGATATGTGAGCCTTAAGAAAACTAGCTCTTCGAATCCAAATTTATAAGAAAATTATTGTATCAGGATGAGGATGAATTTACTTATTGTGCCTGATGGAATTTGCCTGAGGAAAGAACCAGCCTTCCTGCTAGATGTCAGTCCAACACTGAATGGCAGATTGAAGCTTGTTGGATGATTACAGAATCGAAGCATTATGGTCCTCACCCTTCCTAAGGGGCATTTTAATTCTCTATAATGGATTAATTGCCTTAATTTTCCTTCAGGGGGTTTTTACACCTATAAACTGGTCTGTTCCATCACCTGGAATCAGACTGTTTCTGCCCTTTGGCAAAGCTGGTTGCAAGGGCTTACTGTTTCTTCCCCTCAGATTCAATGTCAACTGCTTATTCATTATCTAAATAAGCAAATACGTGTGTGCATGTATGTGTGTATGTTTGCATAGCTTTATTGATCTATAATTTACATATCATAAAAATTTGGTATTTTGCATATACATGAGTACAAATTTAATAGAACTTAGATTTATGGAATCATGCAGCTACCAGCACAATTCTGTTTTAGAACATTTCCAGCCCTCACAAAGCTTCCTCTTTTGCCCTCCCAGTTAATTCACATGTTCACCCCTCCCCTGGGCAACCACTGGTCCTCCTCTGTCCCTGGAGATTTGTCTTTTCCAGACATTTCCTGTAAGTGGGAAATATAATCTGTAGAGTTGTTTTCTGTCTTTTTATTTCATTAACATCATGTTCTTGAGGTTGGTCAAGTTATAGCATGCGTCATTCTTTTTTATTGCTGAAGGGATTCTATTGTGTGGCCGTACTCTGTTTGGTTGCAAAAAGCATATTTTTGAATAGAAACTAACACCTGTATCGATAGATTGGGAGTCCAGAGAAAATCTGAGACACGTCACCAGCTCTGAAGGTCCTTAACATTGCACTGGAGAGGCAAAATGAAGACATATGGAGCAATAAAACAAAATTTGTAGCTATGAGGGGTGACAATGTTAACTAGACTCATGGCGATCGTTTCACAATACATACAAATTTCAAATCACAATATATACAAATATCAAATTGTACACCTGAAACTTATTTAATATATTATGTCAGTTATACCTTGCTAAAAAAAAAAAAAAAAAAGACCTGACAGAGAAAAGTAACATTAAAAAGTACTGTTTAAGAGAGAGACTGGCAGAGCAATGGGCCATGGAGTGCAGTGGAGAAAGTTTGAGTCAGAGACATCAGTTGGATGATTCTACAACAGATTCTGATGATGGACTGAGGAGATGAATGGGGAGGGGCTGTCTGACTCAGGCTCGCTGTGGCCACTCTCCCCCAGGCTCTTCCTCGCTTCCCACACACATGGGGGTTGCTCACAGGCCTGAAGATGCACCTACCTCCTCTTCTCATGTCCTCACTTGCTGCTGGAGCCCTGGAACATCTCTCAACACTCCTCCCCACTCCTCAAAGAATCCACCCTGCCATTCACTACCTCATCTGCTTCCTCACGTTCTTCCAGAGCACTTACCATTCAGCAGAAGTTGTGATGATTGAACTTTCCTGCTTCTTTTCTACCCCAAGCCTCAGGGTTCTGTCTTCCTTATTCTTTGTTTAATCCCTGTGTCTAGTACAGTGCCTGGCTTAACTCAAAAACTATTTGTTGAATGCATGCAACTTGCACATGAGACATTGCACAAGAAAAGTAGTGAGGTCTTGGACAATGAAGAGGCTGGCTCAATTAAAGTTCTCAGTAAGCATGGTGCTCTCATCAAAGACAGAGTAGTAGGGGACTGGAGGGGGCTGCTGCAGCAATGTGGGGGAACTCTGTAGACACAGAGTATCTCTGCTAATGTAGTGGATGGTCACTGGAAAGAGCCCAGTAGGAGACAGAGGACAAGAATACAGAAAAGACAGTCAAGATGGAAAAAAAGGGAGAGAAGGTATATTTCAAATGACAGAAAAAAATAGAAACCACCCAGAGGGTAAGTGGACCCCAAGAGAGCTGCAATGGAAGATGGCTAAGGCCAAGGACAGAGTGGGGAGGCAGTACGCCCACTGAGGTGTGAGGAACAGGAATAAGCTTGGCATTCCTCCTCCTTGGCAGCTTAAGCCCATCAGATCCTCTGCATAACTTCCAAGCTGCATAGACCTCTACCTCCAATTTACCTGCTCTGAACCTTTACAAATTACTTAAGAACTAGCAGGAGCTTATAAGGCATTGTGTCCAATGTCCTCATTTTGCAGATGAGAAACTTTGAGAGAGATATAGAGAGAAATGTTTACCCAGTTAGTGTCAGAGGTAGGTATATAATCTGAAACCCTGTGGGAAGAGGTTCTGGGGTTGGAGGCAGAGGGTCTGCTACCTGACTCCCAACTTCTCAATACAGTCTCTCTTCATTTCTCCATATTTCTTAGACTTTGAATTAATACAACCATATTCTGAATATCCCAAGCATCCTTCTAATGTCTGTAAGATTCATTCCTCTCAGGTTTCCTGTCAATCCCTGTGGGGAGAAAACAGTGGACACAGAGTGACATGTAATTATTTCAATATTAGAATCATGTTTTGAGGAATCAAGTAAGCTAAATGAAGAGCCTAAGCTGGTCCAGAAACTATGATTAAACAAGACTTTTTCTGCATGATTGACACTGAATCCAACTTTGACAATGAGCTAACATCTAGGAGAGCTAGTTATCCTGATTTTAATAAACCCCAGAGACTGGGCTTCTGGTATTGGTTACTTGACAGAGTCAACCAATATGAAATGCCTCCAACCACAAATATCTAAAAATGTTAGATAAAATATGACAAAGTTTATTTAAAATATGTAATTGAATTAAACAAGAAAGACCCTCAGATGATGGAAGCAAAGAGGGAAACAAAGATCAATACGGTGTGATTTGCAGCCGTAGTCAGGAGGGGTGGGAGTAGGGAGTTAATCCACCCAGAAACACACCTTGCTGCCTAAGCCTTTGTTCATCCCTGGTGAAGATAGCAGATGAGATTTGGGGTAGAAATTAGAACTCAGACCTCCGCAGAAAGCTGAGATTCTTGAAACTCAGCCCCTTTAAAGAAGAGGACACAAAACTCCACCCACCAATGCACCTCTGTCCAGGGCTCTGAAAAAGAACAAAGGAAGTCCGAGTTGATATTATCTATGTTTCAGCCACTCCGAGGTTGAGCTTACAACATATAAATTGATCCTGCATTGGTAATACCCCCGGAAGTGATTCAAGACCTTGAGATAATGGAATTATCTGGGAAAAAAAAAAAACACGCAAAAAAATCAATATGTCCCATGTTATGAAACCACTTTTACAGAAGGGATGGAATATTAGGAAGGGCGATGCATGGGGAAAACAGAGCAAGGTGACTGGTAA